CCCCTTTGACACCACTTACTGTTATTTCACATGCAAATATCTCAACAACTGTCCATCTGAGCAATGAGAAATTATTTTTGAAAAATGTTAAAAATGTTGTCATTCCAAAAATGCATTCACTTTTCTTACAAAAAATTGATGTCACAGACACTTTAACTCCAAATTTTGGGTTGTTAGAGGATTTTCAGGAATTAAATTACAGTAAGTTTAAAACTGACTGCTAAGAATGTTTCTGCTATAGTTGATGAAAAAGCAGTTCGATATGGATAAAAGCAATTGGTCTATTAGCAATATTTGAATACTTTAACCAAAACTACTTTGATTCATGAATTTCTGCCAGATTTTATTTTATTTTTTGTCATTTGTGTTTATTACAAAATTGGTCTTGAATTTAATTTCACTTGGCATTAAAAAGTCTTAAAAGGTCTTAAATTTAACTTGGCTTAAACTGTAGGAACCCTGACAGACAGGAGAAAAGCATTATTGCTCCTTCAACAGTGAGTGATAAAACAGAGGATTCAATAAACTTAATGAGTGGACTTTTTGTTTCACTGGGTTTCAAATCTTTGAAATGTTTGTTTCTTCTCTTGTAGAAACACATAGTGATGAAGCGTTCCTTCTTGGTGTTGGGTCTGTCKATCTTTGCCGTGTTTGGCAGTGCCGTGGCAGGCTTCCCGGGCTCTGGAGGCCTCTGCACCTTGGTGTTGGCGTTCCTGGCTGGCGTGGGATGGAGAACAGAAAAGGTACAAACACATACATTTGATAAAGTTAGCGCAAGAAAAAAAAAGCAGCGAACCATACTACGTGTCCAGAAGGTGCCTCATCGGTGTAKCAGTAACTAAGCATCTGTGCTGTGACATGTCAAACCTACTTCTGTTTTGTATTTGACCAAAGGTGCGTGTGGAGGAAGTGGTGGGGTGGGCGTGGGACGTGTTTCAGCCTCTTCTGTTTGGGCTGATTGGAGCCGAAATTCAAGTGTCTAATCTGGAGGGACACACAGTTGGTAAGACGATGACACAGAGCCTTCAGAAACAACACTGTCATCATTGTACTAAATTCAAATGTGACCCTATGAGTGTATGTAAAAGTATTTGCATAAGCAAAAAAGATAYGGCAGATGCACTATGATGTGGCCTGTAAATACTGAAGTACCTCTCTGTGCCGGTACTCCTGTAATTTATTTTCATATTTGTTAAGCCTGTTGGGTTTTCTTAGAAAATAATTCCTTATGTGTCTAAGCGCTCAGTCTGCTCCATGCCAACACAAGAATGTCATCTCTGTTTCAAGACTAACTGCCCTTTGTTGTAGTATTAAATACATTGTGTTGATAAATGTGTAGTGCCTCTGTTTGACATTTGTCTTGATGTTTTTCTAGGTCTTGGTATAGCCACTCTGCTCATAGCTCTTCTGGTTAGAGTCCTCTTCACCTTCGTGTGTGTGCTGCATGCAGGCTTCAACATGAGGGAAAAAATCTTTATAGCCCTTGCATGGATGCCCAAAGCAACAGTGCAGGTATGAAATAATACTCTRAGTTAGGAAGTTTATTTTTTATGTCAATAGAATATTTTTATAAACATTGGAGGAGACACCCAGAGTCTCTACACACCTTCTCATATACAATGAGGAAAACGGGTTATTTTTCTTGAAAGATAAATACCTCTCTGTWGTGAAAGTGAGGAACACACACTCAATAATTTGTCTCTCCAGTGAGTTCAATTTTCTAAAATAAATGATATTTATTTACAGAACAAAATGAACTAACTATATACAAATTAAGGTAATAATCAGAACTTTATGGGTTAAACATTAACAAAAACCACTTTGCGTCCAAAGTAATTAATGAAGGTTTGACACTCAGAACAACAGTAAACTAGGTTTAGATGTTATTAAACACTCAGCTTACAGGTACATTAGCTTATGGCAAGGTTTTTTAAGATTTAGAAAAGTAAAGAGGAGGATTAGTAAAGATTTAATTGTTATCAATTATCTTATCAAAAGGTGAGAACCAGAACAGCACTAGGTCCGCGTCTCGCCCTGTCAGCTGGATCTCAGTACACTTTCACAAAAACCAGCTTTTGGTGTGGGTCAACCGTTAGGTCAGCTGGTGATCAGGAGGACTTGGTACATTAAGGCATCCAGGTCAGGAGAACTTAAGACCAGTAGGACTCCCAGCTTTGTGTTTCTCAGCATCTCAGAAGATCTGCCTTTGTCGAGCGGGCAGAGTCCAGATTTTCTGCACAGGTTCTCTTCTTTCAAAATAAAAGTTCAAAWAGGCTATTTTGAGTCAAGGCTGGAGTTGCCTTGGACTCTAGGACAAAAGATTGTCTCTTTGGCTCATGAGACCAACTCTTTGTCCARAGCTGAGGTCCCTGACAGGAAAAACAGCTTAGAGAGACAAAAATGGAGCTCATTTGACTCTCGTTTACTCTCCAACTGTCCCAGTCTTATTAGTATTCTAAAGAGAAGCAGCTAAATGACCTTGAGGGTTAGCAAGACGAAGCAAGAATGTTTMGTCTGAAGAGCCTCTTGCCAGAGCAGAAACATTTTGCACCTGTTTCTAGAAAAACAAGTTTAACTTTTAACAGACTTTACTGAATTAAAAGATTTCTCATGGTGTTTTTTTTCTTTTCTTGAAGTATAATGTAAAAGTTTAATGTGTACTCTTTTCATTAGACAACTTTGATTTATAAAATGGTAATAACTTGTAGTTAAAAACAGAATATAAATCAAAAACATAAAGAACATTATTATTTTGTTTATTAAAGAAAATAAAATGCCTCTTTTGAGAAAGGATTTTTAAACCAGAGTCAAAGACAAGTGGACATGTTTATTTCCCCTTTGGGGAACCCCTACAACATTTACTTTAACTTGAGTTAAACCTGTTTAACTGCTTTAGCAAAATCACTATCAGTTTGTACTTCACTGGAAAGAAATACAATTAATCAAAGATATAAAATGCATGGCAAAAACTTTGGTAATCAGATAGATCTGTAGTYAATTTAGATCTTAGTAGTCAACATATAAAGCTGGTGTTGTGAGTGACACGATGGCAGAAGGGAGTGAGCAAATTGTGGGTTTATCAAAACTGATGTTCTTAACCCCTCTTATCTTAACATGAGACTGTTTGTAATTTTGCCACTGTTTTCTTAACCAAATCATGTTGCTAAGAATGGCTTTGTGCACCATGGCTGATAATAGAATCCTGCCATGCGTGGGCTGTGACGTGCAGGTACCAGTCCGATCCCAAGCAACAACTGCAGAGAGTAACATTTGTATGTGCTTGCGTTGAGTAGATAAACAATAGTATCAATGGCAGATAGCAGAGTGCGCTTTGTGCTACTCAGCCTTTTCGACGTGTAGGAGCAATCCATCCTCCTATTCTTCTCTGATTAAAGATTTGTGTATTCACCATTTTTGATGCAACTGATTTCATGCTCGTGACTGAAGTCTCTGCATGCGTGCAGACGAAAATCACAGCGCCAGTTAGTGACCTGGCATYGAAACTACAGCAGATTCAATGAACACAGCATTACCTGTGTGAACTTGTTTTCTATAACAGAATCAACATTAGAAAAAACGCCAACGTTTCCAAACATTGTTCAGATGTAAACAGGTTCTCAAACCTTTAGTTTGAATAGCTTTATGATAGAATTTGCTCTTGGATTGTGTTTAAACAGTATGATTCAGGTATGAGCTCTTCACCTCGATTTCCTCGAACTGAGATCGCTCTGACCGCTGAGTACTGTTGAATATTTGTGTCTCACTCCCCACAACCTCAGTTTAAAAAGGAACTATCCCTTTATTTTTTTATTTTTTTCATATATTTCTGTAGTTATCTTTTGTAGATGTATTTCTTTTTTTCAGAATTAAGATTGTAAGTTGGAAGAATCACTAGTTTTGTTCTTGTTTCCATCAGGCAGCGATCGGTTCCACAGCTTTAGACATGGCCAGAACAAAGGGGGGCGACGAGGAACTCAAGAAGTACGGCATGGACGTGCTGACTGTGGCTGTGCTCGCCATTGTCCTCACAGCCCCTATAGGAGCTCTGATTATAGGGCTCTKTGGGCCTCGTCTGCTGCAGAAACCAAAGACCACAACCAGCGGTGAGCGAGTCAAACCCAACTTATCAACATTTTTCTTGGGTACGTAAAGTCCGACATTCAAAGTCTCCAAACTTGGCTCCACCCCTTCCTGCGTGACCTCACTTCGTAGTTACATTCCAGCAGTGACTATCTCTTCCCCTGCGGCRTTTTACTCACCTCACCGCTAAGATAGCTTTGTTCACACAAGCAAAAATTTGCATAGCTTCAGATCCCTTGTTTTGTTTTGGAGTCGGTAGGTTTAAAATAGCAACTTAGGCTTGTAAGCTTAACCTTCACTTTTTGTTAATAGTATATTCAGTTTYCACTCAATCTTCTCAATTTTTTGGCATCACTGCTTTTTTATTTCTCCTAGGCACTGCAGCAGAAGGTGAAGAGGACAATGAAACACCTGTCACCTTTGAGAGTACACTCTGACCTCTGCATCTACTGAAACAGGACATTTGATGAGACACGTCAAACCTCAGTTTGAACTCTTCTTTAGCCACCAAGTGGCTTCTCTGTTGGTCTGAATCATTGTCTTTTTATAGCCCCAGGTGGTTTTCAGACCCCAAGCACTGAACAAATCACTTATGCTGTACCGTCAGACTGAGTGAACTTTATTTATAGCACAGATATTTTTGTTTCTTGCTTGAGCTGAACGACTGTATTAGTATGAAGCACTTGAATGACTTACATTTTTTGTCAAAGTTGAGTAATTATCTTGTAATATTCAATGAAATCAGTATTTTCTCATTTTTGTGACCACATTTGTTGTTTGTGGATTGAAAAGCCAGTTTATTTCATTTTAAGCAGAATTTTTTGGAGKTGTGGATTGAATGTATCAACAGCAGCAATATTTTATCATTCACACATACTGTAGTTCCCATTAGACTGGACACCAGTTGATCATTGAAACGGAAAGTTCCTTGGAGTTGCATCATCCTACCCAAGGGTGTGTCATCAGTTGGGAATGGCATATTTGGCTTCTCAGTTCACATACATTTTACTTGTTTCACACTCCATGTAATGTTTTGTTTGTGTGTTTTTGTATTAGTAATATGTTGGTGAGAAATCGATAGYTGTAAAAAACCTCAGGAGAAAATTTTAGTATTTCATTTTACTTTGGTTGATATAAAATGCTGCTTGAACAGAAGTACATTTACAACATGCACTACGTGGCTTACAGTCTCATGAATGTCTACATTTATCTCAAGGGAACGTTTGAGTTTATGAACAAAATTTTAAAAATGTCTAAATATTAGTATTTCTTAAATTGCAGAAATATGCAGTKTATTTTTCTTTGTTTACATTTTAAGGCCTAAATGAAAAGGTCATGTATTAGGCTGTTTGATGAATTTACAATAGTTTTTTACCRAACAATAAATAATCAAACTGCACAAAATGTTTCTTTTTTTAATAGACTGAATTATTCATGTATTTAGTTTTAACTACATCTAAGTTTATTTTATGGACTGGCTAATGACAAAGAAAGTAAATCCCACCAGTAGCTTAAGTTTTTATTTATTCAAATAAAATACACAAGCAAATCAGTGTTCCCAAAGGTTCAACAARTGGCCCAAATCCAACATCCTTTTAACATTATTACCTTATTTTACGTGTTGATAAAATTTAGTGTCTTTCAAAATAAAAATTTACTAAAAAGTACTTGTTTTGACATCTAGATTGAAGGCACAGCTATACAATGAAACATGTTTTATAATCTGGTCTTTGTTATAGTCTTAATATTAAAGTGGCTATGTACTTTGGGATGCCTTAATCTTTTCAATAAGTAGCACAATCTATATTTACTGTTTTTAGCTGAATAAATGTGTATATCTTCACAACAGAATCCTGCAGTGCCATTTAATCTGATTAAGACCATCATGTCCATCTGAATCAGGAAAATGATCATTTGAGTTTTTGTAGAACCATCACAAGGTTAATTGTAGCTGCCTGCAGCTGATTCTGGTCTAAGTGTTAACTCGTTTCAGTTTAAATCATTATCAAACTTCTTTTAGCTCTGTTGCATGAGTTCTCAAAACAAAACAGTAAAAGAAGCTGAAGTTTTGTCTGCTAAAGCAACTTAAACATGAGGACTTCTTTACAATTAGTATCAATAAAGTCAGGCTAACGTCTAAACAAAAAACTTCTATTCATATTCAAACATACATAAACTTTAGAAAATGCAGATACATAAAAAAACAAATATTGCCAAGTTATAAACTACTTTCACAAAAATCAGCTAAAAACAGTCAGCCATATAATGCTGGAAAAAAAATCAACAGAAGTTCTTAAACCTCTAAAAGGTTAGTGAGGTTAAAACTGCATATAGGATGATATTAGTCAACAATGATGTGGTTTGCAATGTTTAAAGACAAATTAATAAGTAGACCCAAACATGCATTTAATTCAGAAATTCTCACATCCCTAAAGTTCGTTCAAATTTGGCACATTGATTGGCTTTCGCACATAAAATAAACAAAAGCAAAGATAACAAAGAGTGGTCCAAAGTAAAAGGTACACAAGACACMGTGTTAAGTACAGGTTGGACTACTCAACAGGAAGTTGCATCTGATTGGGAAGAACATTCCTTCACCWATGAGTTGAGATCATTGGAAGTCATTAAATAGTCTTTAAATGTACTTCTCAACTTGTCCCCTCAAAGTGTTCCCACCTTTGATTTGTATTTGATGACAGACACTGGGATAAAACTGATTTTGACACTTAAGATGCCATTATGCTAACATAGTGAGCCAAGAAAAATAAATTCTCCTAACTTTAAAAATTCAACATAACATAGCTAATACACACTCAGTAGTTTTATTATCATTATTATTATTATTATTATTGAGAAACATGACATCAAGAAAAGGCTTAGGCATAAACCATCAATTAAAGTATTTTCTTTTTAAGTATGAGTGGTCCCACGTTGTCTCCAGTTAGTTCATTGTGCTTTAAGTGTGACTTGTCACAAACAGGAAACTGAAAACAGGAAACAATTTAATGTTAGACGATCACCAAGCTACAAAAAATTGATCACACACCCTTTTCTAAAAATAAAATACACAAATTAAAAGAACTTTACACTTAAAAAAATATTTTAGCAGCTAGTGTGAACAACTTTAACAAAAATACCCATAGACWCAAGAACTTCTCCCACAGCTCAGTCAGAGTGTGATTCACACAAACATTAAGGTTAGAAAATTAACACGTCAACTTACAGTTTTGGAACGCCAGCAGCGACAGTAACACACATTTGCACTGTTCAGGTCCTCTATGTCTATCTCGTTGACCACTTTAGGATTTTCTTTCTGGATCTTCAAGTTAATSAGGCTGTCTTTCTGTTTCTTCTTCTTAGGAAGAAAAGGGCGGATGGTCAGATAGCCCAACAAGGCCAGGATACCAAGGAAAGGCAGCAACCGCAGCCACTCGGACACTACAGATAAGAAACATGGATCAGTAAASACAGTTACAACGTGCAACTGAAATATGAACTCTACATCAACCTTTATCACACAGGGTCACTTATCAGACAGTGTGTAYGTGACAAACACCAGATTCATCTTAAAGTGATTTTTTTGATGTGGAGTTCTGTGGAAAAGTCTCATTAATATCTCATTAATAAAACAAACTCTATCCAACCCAGTTTGAAGACATAAAATTGAATTTTGACTGAACTGACGAGCTCATTTTAAGGTACTGGCCAGAGATGGATTACCTTCAAAAATATTTATAAATCTTTTTTCTGAAATTCCATTTGAACACGCATTAGCTGTTTTGCTTTTTTAACATTTTCAGCTCCGTTTCACCAGCTTTCAGCTAAAGTTTTCAGCAATAGGCATTCACACTAGCATTTTTGCAGGAAATGCAATTTCTCTAGTTTACACAGAGCTATATGATCATTTGCAAGTGCAAATAGCAGGAGCAGCTAGCTGTAGCTCATCTGGTAAGCCTGGGACACGTCCTGTAGAAATATTATATACCTGCTGAAAAAAAAAGAAAAAACATGTAATATGAAACTGACAGTGGTGCAAATGTTTCTAACAGTGTTCACATTCTATTCTAAAATTTACTATACTGGAGATCTTTTAAAAGGGCAATATCATGTAAAAATCAACTTTTTTGAGTTTTATATCATGTTATAATGTTATACTCTCAT